TTATAGGTTTGATAGGGCTTATAGGGTTTATCGGGTTATAGGGTTTCTAGGTTTTACGGTTCCAGGTGTTACATACGGTCTAGAGTGTGTTGTTGTGAGGGCTGTGCCTCTGTCCTCTCTCCCTGTGATCTTCGGTTTCGTGACCGGAATGTTCCAGTTGTTGGTGTTCCCCAGGGCCTAGACCCTAAACCTTAACCCTAAACCGTGACTCTTTAGCCAGAATCCTATACCCTAAACTGAAATCCCATGTGACTCCTTGCTGAGTGTCTTCGGGGTGCGAGGCTTGTAAGGGTTTAGGGTTTAGGACGGACTTCAGGTTTAGTCGATTCCTAAACCCTAAACCCAAAACCCTGAACCCCAAGCCCTACACCCTGAACCATATCCCCTACTTCGCTTAGCCCGGGGTTTCGGTTTGGAGCTGAAGGACTTGGGTCTGGGGTTTAGGATGGAGGGCTTTCGCTTGCAGGGCCTGGAGCTTTCTTTGGGGGTTAGGCTTACACCAACCCCTAAACACAAATTCCTCAACCCTAAACCCTAATTCCTCAAACCTAAACCCTCAACCCTAATCCCTAAACCCTAAACCCGAATTCCTGAACCCTAAACCCTAATTCCTAAACCCCAAACCCTAATTCCTAAACCCTAAACCCTAATTCCTAAATCCTAATCCCCAAACCCCAATTCCGAAACTGAAGTCCTAATTCCTAAACCCTAAACCCTAAACTTAAACCCTAATTCCTAAACCCTAAGCCCCAAACTCCTAAACCCTAAACCCTAAACCCTAAACCCTAAACTTAAACCCCAATTCCTAAACCCTAACTTCCTCAACCCTAAACCCTAAACCCTAGTTCCTAAACCCTAAGCCCCAAATTCTCGAGCCTGCGGGTCGGGGATTCTTTCAGTGGAGGTCCGAGGATGCCCCGACCCGAAACCCCAAACCCGGCCCTAAACCTAAACCCTAAACCCAAACCCCAAACCCCTAAACCCTAAACCCTAAACCCTAAACCATAAACCCTAAACCCAGAAATCACGGGACTCTTCGAGGATGGAGATGTCTCCGTCTGTGCCGTTCCTCCGCTATCCCCAGGTCTTGAAGCTTGGCCTCGTCTCAGGGATCTCAGGGGGGTTGGGTGAAGATAGATAGGATGAGTTTTAGGGTTTCGTCTTTTTGTTTGAGGCTGTGCTTTAGTTTCGTGATTTTTCGTTTTTTTTGAAAGGGGGGGTTGTTTTTTGGGTGTTCGGGTTCGGGGTCTAAGGTTCAATGGTCGCGGTTCGGTCAGGATCCCGTGACCGGTTCCTGCACCTACCTTCTTGGGTTCTGGCATTCGGTTTAGGCTTTAGATATTCGTTTTGGGGTTTAAGGGTTAAGGGTTTAGAATCTAGGGTTTAGGAATTCGGTTTCGGGTGTTGGGTTTTTGAAAACAGGACATCCAGGGTTAGTAGCGTGATGTGCGCTCACAGCCTGCAGACCCCCAATATAAGAGTAAAAAACCTTCTTTGCTAATTTAAATCCTAAACCCTAAACTCTAAGCCCTAAGCCCTAAACCCTAAACTAGAAGCCCAAGATCCTTATCATTGTTTGATGTTTGCATCAAAATTAAAAAGCCAGCCTAAAAACAGACGAACAGAATCCCCCTAAACGCCAATCGCTAAAGGAAGGCCGTGCAGCGTTTGCCGCGTTTAAGTTCCTTTAACCCTAAGCCACCCTAAACCCTAAACCCAAAACTGTGAAGGAATCCCATATGAACCTTCACAGCAGCCCAGGAAGGGCTGTCTCGGCCTAAACCCTAAACCCTAAACCCTAAGCCCTAAGCCCTAAACCCTAAAGCCTAAACCCTAAACCCTGAAAGCCCTAAAAACCACCAAAACACCAAAGCACCAAAAACCCCTTAACACACACCAAAAACCTTAAAAACAAAAAAAACTCACCAAAACACCCTAAAAACACCGACAAGCCGAAAAACCCTAAAAGTCCAGGAAGGGCTGGGTCGGCGAGGAGAAGGGCTTTGACCCCCTGGGCGTCACGGACGCGCTGCCGGTGTACTGGGTCCGGGAGGCCGGGTTAGGGCATGTTAAGTTTTAGGTTTTTTTTTGTGGTTTTTAAGGGTTTGTTGTTAGGTTTTTATTACGGTTTTTGGGGTGTTTAAGGGTTTGTTTTAACACTTGTTTTTTTGAAGCTTTTTTTATAGTGTTTTTGAAGGGTTTTTTAGGTGTTTTTAGGGTTTTTGGGTGTTTTCAGGGTTTGCGATTTTCAGGGTTTTGGGTTTTGGATTTTAGGGCTGAGGGTTTAAAGTTTAGCGTTTAAAGGTATTTAAGGTTTTTAAGGTTTTTGGGTTTAAGGTTTTAGGGTTTAAGGTGTTAGAGTTTAAGGTTTCAGGGTTTAGGGTTTCAGGTTCAGGGATTGAAGTTTTGAGTGTAGGTTTAGAGTTTGTGGTTCTGGGTTTGGGTTCTAGGGTTTGAAGTTTCGGCCACACTTGTCAGGGATTTAGGCTTGAGGCGAGGGTTTAGGGTTTAGGGTGCTGGGAGCTTGGGGTACCAAGCGTGCGTGTCTTCTTCTAATGTGGTGTTGTAGGGGTTCTTTTGAGGGGTGTTGCCATGCCACATAGTCATGGGATATTCCCTAAACCATACTATGAAAACCAATTGAGGGGTATTGGTTGGGCTCTGCCCCAAACCCGAAACCCTAAGCCCTTCTAGGTGAGGTGTGTAGGGTCAGGGGCTCGCGTTCGGTCTTGGTTTGGGTAGCAGCTTGGTCCGGTTTCCTTTTCTTGTCACGGCTTTTAGGGTTTAGGGTTTNNCCCTAAACCCTAAACCGTGCTGCTGCCACGAATGATGCAGTCGAGGATTCAGTGTCGCGATGCCTGGACAACAAGGCCCGAAAGGACCCAAATGAACTTATGCACAAAAGGACCCGTACTTGGCGGATAAGGAACCCGCAAAAGTGGGAATGAATCTTGAGATCCTTCTGTTTATGTGGTCGGCCTTGTACCCGAAAGCTACAGTCTGTGCCTTTACTTCGGCTCTTCGGCTAAACTTCCAGCGTCAAATGTCGAATCAGAAAGCGTCCTGACGTCTTGCAGCCGTCTGCCCCAAGCTGAGTCCTTTGTTTGATAGCCCTAAGTCCTTTGTTTGACAGCCCTTGCAATGGCGGATTTTTGGGATATCGAAGGCCCATGGGGTGGTGCCGTTGTTGCAGCTCCACCGCATGATGCTGCGGATGTGGGCGCTTGCATCCGAGTTCATCGCTTGAATGGGGAGCTTCTGGAAGTCCCTCTTACAGCCCAGGAGGCCAGCAATGTGGTGTCGAACAGAGACGTGAAGCAATGCCTTGCCAGAAACGATCGAAGAGACTTTGCTCGTCTTTGTCAGCCTTTCTGGGTGGCGAGTTGTTGTCAGGCTCAAGGTTGATCTTTTTTCCATAGCCTGACAGCTGGATCAGTTTGGGCTTACCCCCCCCCCCC